TGAGGGATCAAGAGCCCCTCACCAACATCAAGGAACCTTCCTTGAGGGATCAAGAGCCCCTCACCAACATCAAGGAACCTTCCTTGAGGGATCAAGAGCCCCTCACCAACATCAAGGAACCTTCCTTGAGGGATCAAGAGCCCCTCACCAACATCAAGGAACCTTCCTTGAGGGATCAAGAGCCCCTCACCAACATCAAGGAACCTTCCTTGAGGGATCAAGAGCCCCTCACCAACATCAAGGAACCTTCCTTGAGGGATCAAGAGCCCCTCACCAACATCAAGGAACCTTCTTTGAGGGATCAAGAGCCCCTCACCAACATCAAGGAACCTTCCTTGAGGGATCAAGAGCCCCTCACCAACATCAAGGAACCTTCCTTGAGGGATCAAGAGCCCCTCACCAACATCAAGGAACCTTCCTTGAGGGATCAGGAGCCCCTCACCAACATCAAGGAACCTTCCTTGAGGGATCAAGAGCCCCTCACCAACATCAAGGAACCTTCCTTGAGGGATCAAGAGCCCCTCACCAACATCAAGGAACCTTCTTTGAGGGATCAAGAGCCCCTCACCAACATCAAGGAACCTTCCTTGAGGATCAAGAGCCCCTCACCAACATCAAGGAACCTTCCTTGAGGGATCAAGAGCCCCTCACCAACATCAAGGAACCTTCCTTGAGGATCAAGAGCCCCTCACCAACATCAAGGAACCTTCCTTGAGGGATCAAGAGCCCCTCACCAACATCAAGGAACCTTCCTTGAGGGGAAATATTGTACGAGAATGGTATACAATACCGACAGAATGAAGATTTAGATACATGTACAATATTTGTATATATACACAAATAACCCGCACATAAAAGAGAGAAGCTTACGACGACGTTTCGGTCCGACTTGGACCATTGACAAAGTCACCTTGTCAATGGTCCAAGTCGGACCGAAACGTCGTCGTAAGCTTCTCTCTTTTATGTGCGGGTTATTTGTGTATCGTTCCAGTCACGGTATTGTGCCGTTTTGTTATTTGTATATATAGTCCTACTGTCTTCAAGTTATGTCCTAGAATCTGTATTGATAAAACCACTGGAGGGCGAAACGTCTACAATAAATATTCCCAGATGTTGCACATGTGTCTAAATCTTCAGTATGGTTTGGTTGCAATCGTGTCATTACGATTTCTTGAGTCATGTTGACGGCAGTGAAGGGACTTGAGCTAGAGTTCGTCACGGCCACGCTAGCTGGAGATTCGTCTGTAAAAACTTGCATTTGTGGTCACAGTGGTGGCCTGTGCTAACCTTCCTATGGTGTAGAAATATACCTAGTTGGATGAATCTTATTGTGGCTAGCTGGTCTAGTGGCTAACGCGACGGGCTGGAGTTTTCAGACTCTATGACCGCGGGTTCTATCCCGGCCGGGGGTATGGCTTCAATATTTATTGTAATAAAATATTTAAGAACTGATTAGAACTAAATATAATGTTTGTAGGTGAATGGTTCTTCAGTGGCAGACCACACAGTGTGGTCTGCCACTGGAATTATTTAACTTACACTGGTAAAGATACATTGTTCTGACCACTGGTGGTAAGAGAACAAGAATAACATTGCTTTTTTTAAATGATATGGGTAAAATAATTGTTCAAATACGGATTTCGTAACAGTGAAAGGTATTTTGGTCGTTGTGTGACCTGAGAAAGGTATTTTGGTCGTTGTGTGGCCTGAGAAAGGTATTTTTGGTCGTTGTGTGGCCTGAGAAAGGTATTTTTGGTCGTTGTGTGGCCTGAGAAAGGTATTTTTGGTCGTTGTGTGGCCTGAGAAAGGTATTTTGGTCGTTGTGTAGCGCGAGAAAGGTATTTTGGTCGTTGTGTGACGCGAGAAAGGTATTTTGGTCGTTGTGTGACGCGAGAAAGGTATTTTGGTCGTTGTGTGACGCGAGAAAGGTATTTTGGTCGTTGTGTGACGCGAGAAAGGTATTTTGGTCGTTGTGTGGCGAGAGAAAGGTATTTTGGTCGTTGTGTGACGCGAGAAAGGTATTTTGGTCGTTGTGTGACCAGTGAAAGGTATTTTGGTCGTTGTGTGACGCGAGAAAGGTATTTTGGTCGTTGTGTGACCAGTGAAAGGTATTTTGGTCGTTGTGTGACGCGAGAAAGGTATTTTGGTCGTTGTGTGACCCAAGAAAGGTATTCTGGTCGTTGTGCGACCCGAGAAAGGTATTTTGGTCGTTGTGTGACCCAAGAAAGGTATTCTGGTCGTTGTGCGACCCAAGAAAGGTATTTCGGTCGTTGTGCGACCCGAGAAAGGTATCAAAATATTCCATACCCCCAGTCCCTTGTGTATCAGTATATGCGACTGGAATAGTGCATAGTGCGGCATAAGATGATAATGATGTTAAATATTAACCTTGATGTTTTGAAGGGAATCAGATGAGGCCTTCACAAGTTATATGTAAATTAATATCAAAATTTACTCTAATTTTGTTTGAGGACAAACAAGGCACAAATCTAATATCTTT